ATTACAAAAGAAATTAAGAAGACAACTTTTTATCTATAAAATTTGGGGATTGAGCTATAAAGTATCCTCCAGTTTTACAAATTTTGAGTTATAAGAGAAATAGGAGGAGGAGGGCCATTTGTGGACTACTTATTAAATCTTATTGCAGAAATAGAACATTACCATGTTTCTCTCCTAAATAACAACCAAAAAAAAAAAAAAAAAACTATAAAATACAATTCAGTCAATAAATGAAATTTAAGGGAAAAAAAGATTTTAATATTCTTACAATCCATAGAGAATAAAAGCCAAAGAAAATTTTTTTTTTTTTTTTTTCCCCCGAGACAGAGTTTTGCTCTTGTTGCCCAGGCTGGGGTGTGACGATGCAATCTCAGGTCACTGCAACCTGCAACTCCCAGGTTTAAGAGATTCTCTTGCTTCAGCCTCCAGAGTAGCTGGGATTACAGGCATGCGCCACTGTGCCTGGCTAATTTTGTATTTTTAGTAGTGATGGGGTTTCTCCATGTTGGTCAGGTTGATCTCAAACTCCTGACCTCAGGTGATTAACCCGCCTCGGCCTCCCAAAGTGCTGGGATTAAAGGGGTGAGCCACCGCGCCCAGCCCAAAGAAAATCTGATTATCTATTTAGATCAACTAAATATACATTTTTTGGTAAATCTGCATGGATAAGAAAATTCTTAGCCAGAAAGAAAGACTATTTTTGCCACAGAAAGAAACCATCTATCACAAATTAACATACATTTTTAATAAACAAAAATAATTTCAAAAGAAAAAAAATAGGCAATATTTTAAGCAGGGCTGCATGGCCATGAGGCCTCCTGATCTCAGACAGAAACACACGGCCCTCCCTGTGCCTGCGGCACACGCACAGCCTATATAACCAAGAGAAACTGAGTCACCCGGTGGCGAGGGCATTGACTTACTGACTCTTATCTGAAGGAATGTCTCCTTTCTGCGCAGACACAGGTCTCATGAAAGCACAGATTAACAAGTATATAAAGCTAAGACATGAGGTTTCAGAGCAGCACAAACATTTTCATGGCATTATGCCGTGCCCTAGGAATTATGCCCACACCTTCATTCCTGCTAGGGGAGGGGAGCCCTGGAGCCCCCTCTCCCAGAAGCAGACAACCACGATAGACCCCTTCCACGATACTCAGCTCCTGTGGCTCCTTTCACGCTGGCCAAGAGAGCTCAGGACGCTGGTGTCATGCTAAGGCCCTGGTGCCATCACTTAAATGGCCACATGAAAGGCAGGTCAGAACCCTGTTCCTGTCATGTCCCAGGAGTTAAAATAAGCCTGCTGGGAATGCCTACCAGTGATCTACAACTGATTTTTCAAGGGGGGATTAAAGTAAATAGCATGTTTCATATGGGCCTCTAGAACAGTTTTTTACTTCCTTGCTATAACTCACAGTCATTAAAGAAAGGCAGTGATACTGCTACTTATACCTCTAAATGGAGGGATATGTGGCCCCCAGTTCCGTCTTCTGCTGGGAGTGTGCCTGAGATCGCCCTTTGCTTTGTAGCTCCGTGGCCCCATCAAACTAGGGTCACCCTGCACTACTAATTTCTACCAGTCAGTCACAGGGAGCGCTGGAGATCCGTGGGGTGGACGCATTACCTTAGGAGGCTTAAACTCCAAGCCAGCCTCAGTGCTGTGTATGTAATACATATACTTTCCAAACACCAGATACAACCTTGCTATGTGGATCTGATATTTTCTTCACACACAGCATTTCACAAAATCCTACAGGCAATCAGTCACAAAGCCAGCTGCCTTCTAACATCACGCACTGTGACCAAAATGGGAAAATGACACACCTTTGTCAACACAGCCACCTTTTAAAAATGCTTCTACCAGCTGTTCACAGATGGCTCCTCCAGCAGACTCTTCATAGCTACTCGGCTGCCACATGGGCCATGCCATACACATGAAGGCTCAGCCCACCCAGAGAGGACATCAAAAAGTGCTAAGGGATCCACGGTCATATGCGGGCACGCCATGAAAACAACCTGGGGAAACCACTCAAGCCTACTACAGGTATTCTTACAGGGGGACAGCTTCCAAAGGCAGCCAGCAGACGAGTAGCTGTTTCCCCACAATGGCCACAGCAGGTAGAGGCTTTTGGAGACATCCATGAAATAAAACCCTGCAAGCCCAGGCACCAGCCGTGTGCTCGGAACAAGGCCAGGAGTCAGTCCCTGGGGAACTGGGGAGGTCTGTAGGCAGGCCGGCAACCCTACCCCCTGCCCAGGTAATTGCAATCAGACAGCGTTTCTGCAGCCCAGCCCAGAGGCTGGAGAGATGCCCCCTGGCTGCAGCTCACACCAGCCACTCCCAGCTTCTCAGTCCCCACGGTGGCTGCCTAGGCTACGGAAGGGATGGAAGCTTGCAGCTGAAGACCTGGTATGAAACTAGTACACTCAAACTCCATCGTTAACATCCTTGTTGCTTTGCCTCCTCCCTGGTGGGGAACTGATCTTTCCTCTGAAGAGCACTGACCAGCAAGCCACCTCCATTTGCTCTGCCCCTGGCAAGAGATCCTTGGACAGTAAGCCTAGGACCACAGATAGAACTCCCAAGGCCCTTCTTCTAGCCAGACCTTGGCCCTTTCCACTGCCTTTTCACTCCTTTCCCTGGAGGGCAACTGATAGGACTTGCTAATAGCCAATTTGGAAATTTTACATCACAAAATCACAAGACTCCACCCACAATGGTTCCAAGTCCCCAAGCCCACTTTGGGTATATATCGACTTCAGTGCAATTTATCATTCAAATTAGTCTTTTTGCCACATTTAAGCTGGACTGTACCACCAACAAAAGTGACTTGGAGCTGGCAGCAGTCCTCATTTCAGTTAGGAGAGAGGCAGCTCCCTCCCTGCTTTAGAAAACCAAATTGTTTTGCCTCTAGCTACACAATTGCTCCTGAGGACTAGGGCATAATAAAGGATATTTTTAGGCCAGGCATGGTGGCTCACGCCTGTAATCCTAGCACTTTGGGACACCTAGGTAGGTAGATCACTTGAGGTCAGGAGTTCGAGACTACCCTGGCCAACATCCCATCTCTACTAACAATACAAAAAAAAAAAAAAAATTGGCCGGGCGCGGTGGCTCACGCCTGTAATCCCAGCACTTTGAGGCCGAGGCGCGTAGATCACGAGGTCAGGAGATCGAGACCATCTCGGCTAACACGGTGAAACTCCGTTTCTACTAAAAATACAAAAAGATTAGCTGGGCGAGGTGGCGGGTGCCTGTAGTCCCAGCTACTCGGGAGGCTGAGGCAGGAGAATGGCGTGAACCCGGGAGGCGGAGCTTGCAGTGAGCTGAGATCCGGCCACTGTACTCCAGCCTGGGCGACAGAGCGGAGACTCCATCTCAAAAAAAAAATTAGCTGGGTGAGTTAGTGTACGCCTATAATCGTAACTTCTCGGGAGGCTGAGGTGGGAGGATTGCTTGAATCCAGGAGGTGGAGGTTGCAGTGAGCTGAGACTGCACCACTGCACACTCCAGCCTGGGTGACAGCAAGACTCAGCCTCAAAAAAAAGAAAAAAAAAGTTTTTAAATAATCTTTTCATTTCTCAAGAAACATGTTCTATTTACCACTTTCAATCCTCAGTTACATCTAACCTGCCTGTAAAACACAACGCCGTGGCAGGGAGTCCACCTTTATAAAGCCTAAAAACATGCTTTACCATAAGTCTGCAACAAAAAACAACTAAAAGGTTTCTTCCCTTGTGAAACTCTGAAAAGATGTTTTGTTTCATTACAGAAAAAGCTCAAAAGAATTTGGGTCGCAGGACAAAGAAAAATATCAAATATAATTTTAAGCACGGTTTAAACATTCTGTTCTAAATATTTAATTTTTGTTTGTTAAAGCCAGTAAAAATACTGGTGGAAAGAAACCAGGGCTGTGGTTCCCAAATACCTCCGGGGCAGTAGTTCCAATTTCACCTGGGGCACTTGTTCAAAAACAGATATCCAAGCCCCACACCCAGAGACTCTGACTTGGAAAATCCAGGGTGGGGCCCAGGAATCTCTAGTATTTTAAAGTACCCCAAATAATTTCAGGATAAAACTAAATGTAGAAAACAATTACTAAGTAAATAGGCATTTAAATGCTGGTGTTTAGTCCTAATCTAGTCTCTGTATAGTCCCAAGGGTCATAAGGGTACATTTTAGAGTCCTGCTTACCGGAGGCCCTGCCTTGGAGCTCACTGAGGTCTGAGGGAAGGCCCAGTATTTTTTCAAAGTGCATTCCAGGTAATTTGGGAAACATTAGGGTGGGAAAATGCTCTTTACTTGAGGCAAACTGAGTTTTGGTCACAGCTTTACAAAAAGCTAAGTCTGTGATCCTCATAGAGACCCAGGCATCTCCTGTCCGCAGTGGCACAAATCACTCCTAGGTTTTGTCGTAGCTGAAATAAACCCCGGTACAATTAAGGTGCATTAGAGGAAGGCAAGCTCTCCCAGCAAGAACACAATTGGGCAAAGGAAATCAGTGAATACAGCAGCACATAACGCTTTATGATGAGCTTTGCTTTGGGTGGATGATAAAAAAAGGCTGGAATCGATACAATAAACAAAAGCTACTTAAATGTTACAGGCACTGTGATCGATGGCACCACTGACCTCATAGTTCTTCTGATCTACATTAGAAATACATAAATATATACATATAATATATATAGCAACTCTGATAAAAACCTGGAAATAAAACAATTTAAAACTCTTTAAACCAAAACTTCTTGCTTTTACTTAGGTTAATTTAGCCATAAAGAAAATGATACAGATCTTAATTAAGAGGTTTGTAAAGTACTTAAGTTTGTCATTTTGTTGACATTTAAATGTAATTTCCTCTGAAAACTATTCTTAGGTATCAACTAACTAAACTGAACTGTTGCTTTAGATTATTGTACTACCAGATAAGATAAAATTTGAGATAATTTACTAGAGAGCAACCCAGTCATTTAGGAGTCTCTGCTGTTTTAACACTTACCCCTGAGGCTGTAGGTTGTGTTGTGGGGGAAGTATTTTTGCTGCAATCATCTGAGTTAGAAGAGGTGGAAGTTGGAGTCATGGGAATGGAATTATTGCTATTACCTGCAACAGTCAAAATTAACCTTATAAATACACATATGCTCTGCTGTTAAGGTTGGCAAATACTTTACAGTCAAATGTCATTTTAGTATATTTACCAGAGCAAGTCTTTGATTTATTTATGTTCTTAGGTTTTCGTTTCCTGGTTTGAATTCCCTCTTTCTTCATAGCAAGTGGTCTGGGCACCTAAAAAAGTTTCACATAGGCCATAAATTTAATAATATATTGAAGAAAAATCAAAGATCCAACATTGGTACTAAAAGCCCTCATTTAAAAGAATTTGGCAGCCGGGCGCAGTGGCTCATGCCTGTAATCCCAGCACTTTCAGAGGCTGAAGCAAGCGGATCACCTGAGGTCAGGAGTTCAAAACTAGCCTGGCCAACATGGCGAAACCCTGTCTCTACTAAATATACAAAAATTAGCCAGGCATGGTGGCAGGCACCTGTAATCCCAGCTACTTGGGAGGCTGAGGCAGGAGAATCACTTGAACCCAGAAGGTGGAGGTTGCAGTAAGCCGAGATAGCATCACTGCACTCCAGCCTGGGCAACAGGAGTTAGACTCCATCTCAGAACAAGAAAAAGAAACAAGAAAAAAAAAGAACTTAGCATAAATTTCAATCCAATTTTTATACACACTCAAGAGATCCCAAGTGCACAAAGACTACACTTTCCTCATCAAATGCAGAGATTCCTGCAGAAAGAATGAGATGATTTGTCAAGGAGAATTTAATTCCTTCAACTTAATGTTTATTGTTTGAAATGAGTAGCTATTCAATGAATAAGAATTATTTCAAAGAGATCATGTATTTCCTTCCTCCTACAGATGCAAGGTTACTTTTCTATTTTTTAAGATTGAGGTGTTTATAATGCTTTGTGCAATCCTTTAAAATGAACTATGAAATATTTCAAACTGTAACTATTAAATGCATTATTCCTTTGCATAAATGTCTGATTACATTCAAAATTTTTAAGAGATACAGACCAGTGATTGTGCATTTGATTGATTTCCTTAATTGTGCAGTTTTAAAAATGGTTACTACCATATTATCCATTCTAAAATACGCATTTTTCACATTTTTGCATTTTGAAAACTCGAATGTGTCTTAAATGAACGTTTGCAATAGTTCAATTGGTGGCATTTTTTGTCTCCTACTTGTGCATAAGATAATATTTCATATTATAATTAAAATCACCTTCGATTCAATAAATATATTCAGTATGTACACTGAATATATTAAACACATTCAGTAATAAATCATATGCATTCAAATTTTTCACTTGAGTATCTTTCATTTGCTGATTTTTTGTAACTGAAATCACATACAAACCAGACACTAAATATAAGTGAGCAGAATGCATGGCATACCCCATGGAGTTTCATGTAGAGTCCACAAGCATTGCACACGGGTTCACCCTCGGCATTTCTGCGCCATAAGGTGGTAGTTGTGGTGTGACAGTTGGCACATGACAATCCAAGCCGCCGTGATGAAGGCTAGAAACAGTACAAGAACGTAAGTGGAAAAACATAAGTGACATATATATACACACACATATATATATGCTACATACATACATAAAGGTATTTTGTCCCTGTCATCAATAAGCATGTATCTGTTTTATTATAAATGAAATGGTCCTTAAGAAAAAAAATTGCAGTGTACTTAGACTGACTTTTCTGGACCAAGAAATCTGAGGTCTGCATAGTGTGCTAGACCCTATAGATTTGATTTACTCCTCCAGCTACCCTGTCTCTATGGATTCAAGAATACCAGGGAGCAGTCATATAGTTGGCCAACAACTTCATGCAAAGCTTTTACTAGCGTCCTAACAAGGAGAGTTTCACCCACGGTTTCTTCTCCAATTTAGAGTTTCCCAGATACTACTGGTATCTTTTTTAGGGGAATTAAAAGATTTTCTAAAAGTTGGCCAAATAAGAGTTATATTCAAAACACACCGGAAGTAACAACACAGGTAGACATCAACATGAGAGTGCCCCACCTCCCCCCCAGCACACCCCCTACCGTGGACAGCAGTTGGCCGTGCACTATCACAGGTCTGAGATTTAAGTCATGAAATGCAATCACAAGCCACTTGCCAATGTGCTAAATGGCTCTGGGCAGTCTCCACTTCCCCTGAAAACTGGAGATCATCAGGTCTGTTTCTCAGATATAGGTAAAGGAGTAAACCAGAAACTTTGAAAGGGCCTTTGAAAGTAGATTAATGGAAACTTTAAAAGTACATTAATGGAAATGGATTTCAGAAGAGGGGTAAATGTTTTGTAAAAAAAAAGAAATACATTTGAGCACATTCCGTAATTACCATCATGATTGCCTGCTGCCCGTATTTTTGTTTTATTTATTTTACAAAAGATACAAGCCAATTTTATGGCATCACCTTAATGCTGCCATTGTCTTAGATGCAGTGATACCAATATATTTGCCCTATCAGTATCATTCTCAACTTGTGTTCATACAAAGGGTTAATTGGTATTACCAGAAAAGGTAAAAGGCCACCTGTCTGCCACTGTCACTCCCATTTCCATGTTTTCTTTATGCCCACAACATCCTTAAAGGGAATTTATTATCTCTAGATTCCTACATGTTAATTATAAAGGATGGGAGTTTAAGCTAATATAATTTCCTACCCAGAATGGCAAAATATGAAACTTGTTTTTAAGTTGCCAAGCTTAAATTTCCTTTTAAATGCTGTAAATTACTATAAAAATTGTGACACAGCTTCAGTTAAAAAAAAAAAAAAAAAAAAAAAAAATTGGATGCTTGCTTCCATAGTAAAATTGGAAGGATACAGAGAAGATTAGCATGGCCCCAGCACAAGAATGACACCCAAATTCGTGAAGCTTTCCCTATTAAAAAAAAATAAATTAGAGAAAGATTCGGGACCAAACCAAGTTGAAAATTACAAAATTTGCGAAGTTAAGAAAAATCAATTGTAAAGAATGGAGAAATGTAAATTGAATCTGTATCGAATATTCACAGATTACAGGACAGAGACTTCCAAAACTTTTGCTGGCAAATTTAAAAGATGAAATTAAAATTTGCACTTATGATTCACATCCTGTTGCATTACTTAGCATCACTCTTTACAGATAAGTTATAAACACAAAGAGACGCTGGCAAACGTTTTAGTACTACAACATTTCAAAGAAGTCAGCGCTAAGAATCAATTTGCCTTTAGTTGAAATGAGTATGCTTGGCTCACAGGAGAGCTACCTGGGAAACTGCTTTGCTAAAATCACAACAACATATTAACAAAACTTTACACATCCAGGCTTTTCTTTTTTCTTTGTGATTAAAAGAAAATAAATTTTTAGGAAAGGATTCCTTTCTCTTCATAAATGTGAAATCAGTAAACGAGGGACAGGAAGGTTCACTTTATAAACCAGTCATTTATGACAGTTTCCAGTGGAATTTGGAGTCAATGTGAAGCAAACTTGTTATCAGAATTTGCCATTATAACAAAGGACTTTATGACTGTCAACTGCAGATCATAAGTGAAGCCAGTCCTCATAAACATGTGAAATGCAGGTGAATGGGTTATAAAAGTTCCTTGTAACAAGTGATCTTAGTCATATTCCTCACTGACAAGGAATTCAAGTTACACCATAAATCTCTTATTTTGCAATGTATTGCAAGTTCAGATTCACAGTGATTGGTTCTATACTGCTGGCTAAACAAACTTGAGTTCAACATTCTGTTTCTGAGAACTAAGCCAGATCCATCAAAACCATAAATAAGAAGCCCACAAGGAGACCTCATTGATAGTGACACACCCTTCAATTGGTATCATTTATAACCCATTTACAAAGCATATTTGCTGACCTTGGTTATAGCCAAGACACCTGCTAAGCACAAAGAAAATTAATTGATTCAGAAATGCTAAAAACTGTTCTTTTTTTTTTTTCTTCTAAGTTATTTTTACTGGTACATGCACAAAACAAATGGCACTATCTAAATATGTTACTAGATCAAATTTATAATGCAACTGGAACCTAAATGGCTATTCTTCCACCACATTTTTGCTCAATCTCTAGAAAATGTTACCTTTGAGAGTTCAGTTAGTACTCAGCTCAATGTGCCTTTCCAGAAAAATAAATCAGTTTCATTGTTCATGTGTTGTCTATTATATGAAAACAAGGAACTTCTGTGGGATATTTTCCACTTACTACTTTTTCTTCTTTAGTATGATGCATTTAAGAAAAAATGAAACCCACAGAGAGTCACACACTGCAGTTAAAATTTATTTAAAGAAAATTTTAAGCTGTGGGAGGTTGTAACGAGTGTAAGCCATATACATTCATTAAATTAACCTCAGCCACTTTATTTTAAATGCATTAAAACAAAACCAACCATAAAACTAATTGCTTCTCTTTAAGGCGTCAGACTTACATTGTGATGCAATTTCACTCTAATCTATTTAACACAAACAACATGTGTAGCATTTGTTCCTGCTAATTAGAGTATAACAAATAAATTACTGGGATACTTAAGACGTCTGGCATCTAACTGTAACATATTTAGCTTTAAAGGGTTATTAGATTATGAGTACTTCGCTAAACAAATGTTAGCCTTACAATGGGGCTGGTGAAAGCTTTCCTTTATTTTCTCTAACCTTTACAGTGGTAAATACTCTCTCCGGCTAAGAAGCACACATAACAATGACAATATAAGATTAATCCCTGAAATCAGGATTCCCTTACTTTAAAACATGGTGGCCGGGCGCGGTGGCTCACGCCCGTAATCCCAGCACTTCGGGAGGCCAAGGCGGGCGGATCACCTGAAGTCGGGAGTTCGAGACCAGCCTGACCTACATGGGGAAACCCTGTCTCTACTAAAAATACAAAAAAATTAGCTGGGCGTGGTGGCGCATGCCTGTAATCCCAGCTACTCGGGAGGCTGAGGCAGGAGAATCGCTTGAACCATGGAGGCGGAGGCTGCGGTGAGCCGAGATCACGCCATTGCACTTCAGCCTGGACAACAAGAGTGAAACTCCGTCTCAAAAATAAATAAATAGATAAAAAGTACAACGTGTGCGAATTAGTGAAAATGCTCAACTTAAGAACATACAAACCACACGTTTTCTCAAGTTCTACAAGATTCTCTGATTTCGAAATAACAAAAGTTAGAGCAAATAAATTTTCAGCAGGTTCAAGGGCAATCCAAGATATGGAATTTGGGGATACACCTGAGGATAAGAGGTAGAAGTGACCAAGAAGGTGGAAAGGACAAAGTAAAAGGCACCCAAAAGAATGTGGCTGTGAGGCGGCGAGAGGGTGGTTGGATTTCTGGCATATTCTATTCGGGGGGTGGATGGTATAAGTGACCATGGTTTTTCAAGGATAAAATCTAAACCATACCCAGTGAAAAAAGTCTTCCTTCGTCCAGCCTCCGTAGGTCTGTTTTTCTCCTCGGGTTACCATCACCATTTTTTGGCCTATCTTACCAGAATTATTACAGTGCTTTGGCAAGTACACCTAGAGATATATCGATTTTTTTTTTCTTTTTTTGCTTGAAACATGGTAACATTTTGCACCTTCCTTTTTTGTTTGTTTTTGTTTTTGTCATTTAGGAACGTCATTCCCTGCGCGTAAAGATGGGGAAAGGCTATCTTGGCTTCCCAGACGCCGGTTTCGGGGTAACCTCTGCTTGGGCGCCAGCGGGTAGGAGTTGGAACAGCCAGGACAGGATGGTACCGCTGGGTCCCCGCTCGGGTGGGACTGGGGCGGCCGCATCTGTCCCCAGGGAGGGGGACGCCGGAGGCAGGCAGAGCCAGGGCGGGGCGGGCAGGGTCAGGAGAGCCCGGGGCCCGGCCGCGAGCCAGGGGCAGGGCGGGTCACACTCACCACGCGCTTCTGCGGCTTGATGAGGGGCCGGCTGAGGCCGTTCATCTTGCTGTAGAGCCCGCAGGCGTTGCACAGGTAGTGGCCGGTGCCGTCCCGCCGCCACAGCGGCGTCTGGATGGAGCCGCAGTTCACGCACTCGCGGCTCTCGGACAGGTCCTCCAGCAGGTCTGCGGCGACAGCGGGGCGAGAGGGCGGGTGAGGCCGCGCCGGACCCGTCCTTCCCCGCGTCACCCGGGGGACCCGGCCCCCAGCCCCGGTGCCCGGCTTCCCTGCCCGCACCCTTCCCGGCTGCGCTTTTCTCCTTGGCCGCAAAGCCAGGAGCAGGGTTTTTATTTCGTCACTATCGATCCGCTGACCATTTGTCCAATACTTCTGCACACCCGGGGCGCCCCAGTAGAGACCCCGGGAAAGAGACAGTGCTGGAAGCAGAGGACGTCAGAGTCCGAGATGAGCGGTGGGGAGGAGGTCGGCTTGAGTCCCCTGACCCCTACTCTCAGGCTGTCCCCGAGCTTTTAAAGACTAAAATCCATCATCATTACAGTACGTCGTTGCCAAACCCGAGCAAGCCACACAGCAATACTGACCACTGAGCCCCGCTGCAACCCACAAATATCCGGGGACAGAGCAAGGCTGCCGCATTAACTTTTATCTCAAGTTATTTTAAAAAGTATTTTCTACATCTGCCACCGGTCCATATGTGCCTCTTCTCCAATTAAAGATACACAAGTGAAATTAAAAGTACTATTCTTAGGCACCTATGTTAGTTAGAAACTAGAAATGAGAAAATTACTCTCATCTTTTCAGGGGGAAAATGCACTAACATTAAGCACAGAGTTTATTTTCATGCCACGAAGATCAAATGCTAAAATCCCCTGATTTAGAAGTGGGTCCAACTGCTTCTATCCACAAAATTTTTATAAAAGGTTGATACCTTACTCATTGAGAAAATTACCAAGACCTTTCCAGTGATCATTTTGAGTTATACAATCTATTTAAAATGTGTTTATTTTACATAATGTTATTATTATTATTCTTTGGTTAGTTTTCAGAATTCACAATAACCTAAACCTGCTAATAAAACAAATCTTAATTAAGAGTAAATGTAACATTTATTACTTCTCAAGAAGGTTAAATATGGAAGAATAAATGTCTCTAAAAATGAGATAGGTACTTATAAGTATAGACTTAAAAAAAATGTATAGACCACCATTTAAGGTTCTTTAGATTATAGAAGGTTTAAATGTTCTAGTTTTGCATTATTGAAGAAGCATTTCTGAATCACTTTTTAAAGTAAATAAACATTACACTTTAGAGTTTTAGCTGAAGATTGTGTGCTAGTGAACCTTTTTGTTCTTTCTCATCCCCTTGCAGTTTATTGCTTGTGTCTACCATCAACTGTGGGGTAACCATATTTAAATATGACTTTAGCATAAAAACTCTTTAATTCCATTAATACTATTTACAAAACAAGTCTCCTTTCTCATTTCTTATTAAGTTTTAAAGAAACTAGCATCCTACACAGTTCAAAGTTGTCATGGGGATACCGCAACTCACAACAGATCACAAAGATTTATTCTTCTCCGCTCTAAAAGCCACTATTGACTATGGTAATCAGTAAAATACTCAGGACTTCAAGGACACTGAAGTTAAACAAGGTATTTGTCTTTGTTGTTGACTTTAAAATGTTACCTATCAGAGCCCCTCTGGACAGAGGAGTGGGGCATTCCCTGGAAAACCCAGTCCTCTGCCTGGGAACAATAAGAATCCCAATAGAAGACAGCGTGAACTCCCCAGGTAGAACTATTTAGTCATCTGAAAACCCAAAGACAAAATTTAATTAAAAGTCCACTTTGAATAAATAATAAATACAATCTAGGAAGTTTGCTTATTTTTAGTTAAATAAAATCTCTCTCATTCCCTCCCAACCTCTTTCCCAAACCCACCAAGCAGCTATAATCCTCTAAATGACTAAAAAGGAAAAAAAAAAAAATGCTGTCTGTATATCTGATTGTGCTGGAGGCTTGCTCACCAAGATCCCCCTTTTCAACTCACCATTTCTCTCCTAACATGGCTGTTTGGGGTGCCCTTGGGGAGTGATAGATTCAGAGCAGAAGGGCACCACCACCTGTCTTTCTGTGTGTGACACCAAGACACACAGACTCAAACACAGTTCTGCAGGAGCTTAGGAGGGTGTAGGACCCAGGAAATAAAGGGGTGTGAGAACTCTGAGATCACCCCAGAGTAAGCTCATCCCATCTACCCAGTCAGCAAGAAGTGTATAGTGTGGGTTTCCAGAAGCCTCCAGATTGTGCGGGTTGATCAAGTTCAGCACTCAGGTTTTAGCTCTGGTGTTTAAAGTGTCTGCCTCCAAAAACGGTTTAAAAAAAAAAAAAAAAAAAATCTAAGAAACAGGAAACCTAGCTAGGAAGCTGGCCCCAGAGTACCTGTGAGGACAAGCAAAGTTAGGGTCACTCACTCCCCACCCTTCACCCCAATACAGGCTTGGTCCCAGTCGCTTCCTGATTTCCTAACAGACTCTATGCAAAAGCTGGGTGTTCCCAAATCCCTTCCCATTTTTTTAAACATACTTTTTTAAAAAATGCTTAAAAAATAACAAATCTTCTAGGTCTACAGAAAATTTCTCTAACTGTGGTGTGCCCAGAAGATGAAAAAATTAAGGAAAGTATAGGCTAAATTTAAAACAAAATGCAACATATTAACTTGCCCACAACTGCCCCATACTGCCTCTAAAGGGATTTTGCATACAGAACCAGTTACTGTAAACATCTAAAGACTCTCTCAGTCATATGAAATGCTGGAAGATTGGAGGAAAGGAACCTGGAGATCAAGCTAAGGTGTGTCAAGAAATAGGCAGAGTTGCAGGCGCTGGCTCAAGCTGCAGCTAGCCCTCACCCAACTCACACACCCTTGCACATTCCCTACAGAACTCCCCGACTGACAAAAGAAGCTTCACACCCAACCACTGCCTCCTTAGAGATTCCCAGTCTCTCCATCTCTGCTCCTGGGAGCCAAGCATGGGTCCCTATGCAGCAGTAAGGAAGAGAGCCCTCGACTCTCAAGTTCCAAGCCAACAACAGTGCAAATCTCAACAGGGTCCCCGATCCCATTCCACACACGGGAAATATGTTCTCCAGGGCCAGCTTTGCAGCAGAAGCAAAAAGAGGGAATTTCGCTGGGCGTGGTGGCTCATGCCTATAAGCCCAGCACTTTGGGAGGCCGAGGTGGGTGGATCACCTAAAGTCAAGAGTTCAAAACCAGCCTGACCAATATGGCAAAAACTACTAAAAATACAAAAAGTAAGTGTGGCGGCACGTTCCTGTAATCCCAGCTACTCGGGAGGCTGAGGCAGAAGAATCACTTGAACCCAGGAGGTGGAGGTTACAGTGACCACTGCACTCCAGACTGGGTGACAGAGCAAAATTAAAAAGAGGGAATTTTGAGACCAAGTCTTGCAGCACTTGGAAGAAGACAGAAAGAACTTAGGTTATCAGGGAGCTGTTCAAATTTGTTCCTTCACTTTCAGACCACTTGCATTTCCAGGATGTCTTTTGCAGACAAGGTTGGGAATGTCCCATTTTATCCTAAGGAATCGTGGCCCCTAGAAGGACTGACTTGCTGTCCCTAAAGGCAGCATCGAGGCTCCCACGAGAAGCACAGACCTGGGATACACAAGACACCGGGGTAGGACTGTTTGGATTAATGTGCCTTCCTCCACTCTGCCACCTCTGTGACTCAAGGGGCCTCCCCCACACCTCCTCTCTAACAACCAACAATAAAAAAAGGTGTTGTTTCCTTAGAAAGATTATCAAACAGGTGAAATATATAGTAAGAGAAGCCAGCTGAAAGCTCCAAAGACGCAGAATGTTGCATCTGAGAAAAGCAGCCTAACAGGGCTCACACACTCCTGTGCTGGAGTAAACAAAACACTTTTCAAAACGAGGTATTTCCAGGTATTTTTGACAATAGCATTTTCACAGTTTACCCCCTAATGGCTCCCAGACACAGGAATTAAGAGTATGAGTCAAATTGGAAACTGAAAAACTGGTGGGCTAAACTTCGAAGGGAGAATAGGCGCCCCAGCTCCAGGATGCCTGAGTTGCAGCCTGGCCATGTGAGCAGCAGTCCCAGACCAGGGCCCAGCTGATGCCAAGCAAAAGGGCCTATCCACCAGCTCTCCTTCAGCATAAAGTCACAAGTCTGACCACTCCAGGTGCCCTCTCATCTTTTCTTTCCCTCTCTCCCTTGTGGGAGAGAAGATGCCAACCAGCTTCCCTAGGAACATCTAAGCTCTTCTGTTGTGCTTTGCTAAATACCCTTCTCTAGGAAAACACACACACACCCTTTGGAGAGTTAAACTGGGTGAGTCTGCAAGTGCTTTGTATGAGTGTTTGGGGGTGGATCAAGTGTCCGCCACTCTCCCAGACTTACTCCCATCGTGGAATCTCTTCCACTCACCCAAAGTAGGGTCTGCGATGAGGCTCAAGCGCTCGTAGTTACCTCCCAGCCTCATTTTTCCCCAATAGCAGAGGCCATTCACTACTCATCAAGGCCCTGAGCTTCTCCAAGGCACAAAGGTACAGATGTGCATTTAGTCTCTTTCGTGGAAAGGAACTTGGCACAAGAGAATCGCCTCAGCGCTACCAGACTCTCGTCACCCAGCCACAGGCCTGCAAATCCTTCCTGGGACCAGGCCGACCTCCGTGCACCCGGACGAGAAAGTCCTGAAAACAGTGCCTCAAAGTCCTGAAAACAGAGTGGAGTAGCTGCTCCACGTCCCCCGTGCGCCCCAGCGCTTTGGACCCGCAACCTGACCCTGAGGCGCGACCCTTACCTGCACTGGGGCCCCGGGGCACCGGGAGCGGGGCTCCGGCGCGGCTCTGCAGGCTGTGCAGCACCGGGGTCTCGAAGGGTCCGGCAGGCCAGGCGGGCGTCAGTGGCGCCCCCACGTAGGGCGAGTAGGGGCTCGGATGATGATGGTGGTGGTGATGGTGGTGATGGTACGTCCCGTTCAGCGGCCGTGCCGCCGACAGCGAGCTGTACTGGGGCTCGCGGCCGCCCATGGCCGCCAGGCTGCTGCCGCCGCCGCTCACGCCTCCCGCGCCCCCACTACCCGCGGCCGCGTAGCCTCCTGGCTCCCGCGCGGCGCCGTTGGCCATGGGCGGGCTGGGCGAGTAAGGGAAGCGCGCCGAGACGTGCGCCGCGGCCGAGCCAGCGCCGCCTGGCCCCGCGGCCCCACCGCCAGCCGCTCCGCCTCCGCCGCCGTACGGGGGGCTGTCGGCCGAGGCCTGGGGCCAGCCGGGATGCGCGCCCGCGCCGCCCGCGTGGTTGGCTGGCCCACTGCCCGACCCCTGCAGGTGGTACGGTAGGCCGGGCAGCATGGAACCCACGCGAGTGGTGGGCACGTAGACCGGGGAGCTGGCCGCCGCCGCGGCTGCTGCCGCCGCGGCCGCAGAGTGCACGAAGCCGCCGGGCGCACCATCGTAGGCGGCCGGACCCTGACTGGAGAGAGCGGCGAGGGTCTGGTACATCTCCTCCGGCTGCTCGGGTGCGAAGGGGCTCAGCTTGGCGCCGCGGCTGGACCACAGCAGCTTGCTGGCGGTCGCGGCTTGGTCGAGGTCAGTGAACAGCAGCAGGTCCTCCCAGGTCGACAGGTTGCCCCCGGGGCCCGCGACCCCAGGCGCCGAAGGTCCGTGGGGAACCCCGAAGGGATGCGAAGCGTATGAGCTGAGCAGCAGCGAGCGGGCCGGGGGTCCAGCCGCTGCCTCCGCGTCGAGCTGAGGCGTCCCGCAGTTGCTGGCGCCGCCGGGGCCCCGCTCTCCGCCCCGGGAGCAGGAGGAGGACGAGGAAGAGATGGGGGAAGGCGGCGTGGAGGGGTCCCGCGCTAGAAAGGCTCCGGAGTCGCTGGCGTCCGCACCCGCGGCCCCGAAGCGCTTCGGCAAGCACCAGCCGCCGTCAGTCAAGGCCATCCACGGTCCGGCGCCGCTGCAAGCTGACGTCTAGCTCCTGAGGCGAGGTGGGGGAGACGGGGATGGTAGGAGATAGACGAGTTACCAAGAGCGTAGGCTGCACACACTACCTCGCTTCCACTCCTTTATTCTAGTTCAAATGGGATCCACCTCCAATGGGATCTTTGAGAACTCAAATATCCCATTTGAGACTTCTCAAAGATCCCATTTCTGCCTGGGGCGTGGGGATTAATAAGGGAGAGGGGAAAGGAGCCTGTGCAGCCGCCACAGAGCCCTGGAAGGGCTGGGATATCAGCCCTCCCTCAAAGGCACCGCTCCGGTCCCCGCGTCCTCCCCGCCCACCCCCTCGGCCGCATCCTTTCTCCGTGCGCGCGCCAGATCCCAGGGGTGATCTGCAGAAGCTGGATGAGGCTATCCTTCCGCCCTAAAGTGTCTTCCCCGGGCTGATGACACACAAAGGAATTTAAGTAGCTGTGCGTGTTGGCACCGCAGCATCCCGCCTCTCTGCGGATGCCCCTCTCCCGAAATGCCTCGGGGTGAGGGTTCCCCACGGGAAAACCGTTCGCGTAAGGAAGGCAACCTGTCCCCGAAAACGAAACCGCCGCGTTCTCCTATACTGGCTCTCCCAGAGTTTCCTGGACTGCGCTGACCAGCCCGAACGCGAGCCCCAGAGAGAAATGCCATTCGGCCCAGGGAAAGTGGGACGCCAGGGCGGGGGCAGCAGTCCAGGTCCTTCCCAGCAGAGGCAGAGCAGGGAGCTCGCGGGGCGGGAATCGCCAGCCCCACCGGCGTCCCCGCGGCGCCGCACACCTTAGACACTGCCCGCGCCGGCAGCCACCAGCGTGCGCGCTCACGCCGGCCGGGCAGCCCGGCCCACCCCGCGGTCATCCCCAGCAGCAGAAAGGCCGGACCCTCCCGGAATCGGACGTAGCGGGGTGGAGGGGAGAGAAGAGAAAGGGGGGGGGAACGCGGGGGGGGGGGGGGGGGGGGGGGCGTGAGACTGCCCCAGAGCCGACGCGACCCCAAAGGGGAGAGCAGGAAGAATGACAGGGAGAATCGGAGGAGTGGGGGAGGAAGGCGAAATGCAGCCGGGCTGGCCTCCTCTAGGCTGCTTTTCCAAATCGCCTCGGCTCATCGGAGATTACCACACTAAAATTAATGCCCACACACAGACCTGGCTAGATAGCAAGAAAGAAGTTTCTCTGCCTGCCTAACTACCGGCTCCCGCCCCTTTGCGCCGAGATAACTCGGAGATAAGGCTGCGCGCAGATAAGCGCTTCAAGGAGAGGAAAAGAGACTAGAAGTTGGTCCGCGGTGTCCCGGGAGCCTGGGAGCCGCCTCAGCCCGCCCGGAGGGGAGGAGGGAGACACCCTCGGAGCCGACTGCGGCCTGGAGAGGGCCGGAGCGCCGGAGGCCCAGGGGCCCGCGATGAGTAGGGGTGGAGGGGAGGGAAGCGAGGAGATCGCGCGAGGAGGAAGCAGCCGAACCTCGGGCGGGCGCTGCTCATGGAGAACGGCCGCGGCGGAGGGTGCTCCCAGGCGTGGAGAGAGGCCGAGGGCGCCAGCGGGCGAGCGCGAGTCCGGGGTCTGCGCCGCGCTGCTGGTGAATAAAAAGGAGAGAGGAGGCGCCTCTTACTGCTCTGCCGGAAAACTGCAGCCTGCGCTCCTGATTGGACTCACCGAGCCCTAAACAAACAGCGCTCGCCGAAGGGTGCCAGGCTGTGGGTCGGAACTGCGCTCAGCGAGCAGCTGGGCGCTGGAGGTGAAGAGGAGGAGGAGGGATCTAGGGGAGGAGAGAAAAGAGGGTGGGGAGGGGACGGCGAGGGGGAGGGGAGCGCGCCGCCCAGGCAGACAATGAGCGCCGCGCTGCCTGCGGGCGTGGGCTGAGCCGCGAGCCCTGTCCCCGGAGTGGGGGCGAGTCCACCCGGGGGGCGCTGAGCCCAGGGACGCCGGGGGAGGGGCGGAGGCCACAGAAAGCCTGACCTGGCTGGCGACCCGCACCCACACAGCGGCTGTGCACCCTCCCGCTCCCGCAGTCACACACACACACCCACACGAGGGAGGAGGGAGCCTTGGCACGGGAGGAGTTGGCAGTGCACAGCCCCGCGCCGCCGCCGCGGCGGGAGGGGCGCTCCAGCCCCTGGGTCAGCACGCCCCCAGAAGGAGGGGAGAATGTGCTCTGCGCCCCCCCACCCCCCAACCCCCGCCTAGCCCCTTCACAGCAAATGTGCTTTTTGCCCTGCGGTTGTGTGAGACCGACCTTAAACTTTCTCCGACCCTATCTCGGGATGCTAGGGCTCAGGTCGTGGTGGTTTCGGGAACCTCACGACAAAATTCCCCAGTTGACTTTTGGGAACTTTAACTCGGGTGGTCCTGTACGGAAAGGTAGTCTATGGGGTGCGCAGAATGGAAAAGGGCTTCCACATCAGTGGTGTTCGAGGACGCTCTCCAACTTTTGATGTCCCGTTTGCACGGAGATTTCCCTGGAGAGTTTCAGGTAAGTCGCAGATAAGTCACTGCGAAGAGGGGGTGTCACCTTCCCTGGACCCAGAGCTGAATGCTGCTTCCCCACCCCCACGTTCATATACACACCCCCTCTTCGCTCCCTCCAAACAGTTATCACAACTCTGTACAAACTGATACGGTCCCTAGCGGGCAAAGGGACTGGAAATGAACGTCGCGGGGTTATCAGCGCCGATCTGTCAGCGGCGACTCGCGCGGCCGCAGGCTCGTCCGCTGCAGGAGCCGTGATATATGTCTCGCTCCCTTTCGCTCACAGAAAGGATTTCTTCCGACAGACGTGACCCCAGAAGGCTGCCGAGGGAGAGTTTAGGACAAGAGGAGTTGTTTTTGTGAGAATGCATTTTTATACTTTCCCCCGCCCGCTCCTTCTCCCCCCCGCCAGGTAAATCGAAGTAAATGATTTTCTGAAGGTCGGTCTCCCAGAAAGCGTTTGGGCTCTGGTTTTTTGTTTTGTTTTTATTTTCGTGTTTTCCCAGTTAGGGAAGGGAGAGGAGCCTTTGCAGAGTTGAACTGGGGTGGGGAGGTGCGTTGTAAAGTATGGTTTCCAGAGACGGTGAGACCTCGTCGCTAAGCGTTGTTTCCTCTGCATGTAACTGTGAGTTGTGAACTTGTGGCTCCTGGGGGAGCGGGGACAGGTCCTGGCAGTGCGGAGGAAGGGGCGAGGAATTCAGGAAGTTGGAGAGAATTCTTCTTTTTTCATTCTTCGTTGTAAATTGCTTCTAAACACTTCTGAATTTTAAATTGCTACCGAGAAGGTCCAGAAACCGTTCTAGTCCAATTTAGTCACTTTTACTACAATCCACTTTGCCTCCCCCAATCACTGCGGCGGCTCCCAGTTTCAGCGTGGCCGCATTTTGAAAAGGCTGAAGGTAGAAAACTCTGGAATGGAGAGGTTGGCTACTGGAGCAGGATCCAGGGGCTTTAAATTTTAACCTGAGTGCGACTGAATGCGCGACTCCCAGAAGAGATAGCCAGGCGTCCGCCCGGCCGCTCAGCCCCGGCCAGGACCCGGAATGCCTTGCTTTTGGTTCTTTTCGTGAGTTCCACCAAATGTTTAAGTGGACTGCGTTCTGCAGAAGCTCAATTGTAAGCAGTGACGGAAATGTGTTGTGGACATTTGATTTCCTTTGATTCCAACGTTTTGAAATAATGTTTCTCAGGTTTGCTATTAAAAGCAATTTTCTAAAAACTATCTTGTTTGCTAAAAATAAACTCTCTGGCTCAGTTTGCGTCCAGGCTGTGAATGGCCTCCAACCCTGAGCCCCGAGGAGATCGAGCCCTGGCGCGAGCCTGATCTCTGTCCTGTGTGTTTCTTTGTATTTGCAAGTACAAGGATGTCTGCGTGGATATCCCTGGACACTCGATACCCCCCGGGGACCTGCTTTTCCCGCAGCTCCGCAGACACAGCAGAAGGGCGCGCTGGCCCCGGCGCTGCTGGGACAGAGGTGAGCGGCGGGGTGGACATTGACCGATTCGACAACCTTCGGGCTCTAAGGGCTCGGGAAGGGACCCGGCATTTTACCCTCCAGATTCCCAATCTATTTTTAAAAATAATGTTCAAAACAAATGGGAAAAATAAGTGATTGCTCCTTTTCATGGTCACAGATTGTATTTATTTTTTCAGACTGGTTTTCCAACCAAACGAGGGAATGGGTAGTGCATGTTGTTGTTGTTTTTGTGTGTGTTGGTTAATTTCAAAATAAAACTGTTTAACTCGTACAGTTGATTCAGACAGAAAACCAAGCTGCCTGACCTCTCCAATGTGCCTTTTCCCCAGTGCATCTTTGGCGCTAGGGACAACTCTGGGGAAGACAAGCATGTTTTCAAAGCCACTCCCATGAGCCCCAGGCCCGCGCGTGGAGCTTCCTGGGCGCGCCCCAGCTGGTCTAGAAGGCCGGCAGATTAGGAAGTTCTGAGGGAAGAGATGCACCCCAAACTAGGGAGAAACCCAAGAGCTGGGGAGAAGGCACCCACTAGTGTCCAAAGTACACGGACAGCTCTTAAAAGTTCCTGTTTTCTTCATGGGTATATATATATTTTTTTCTTTTCCTTCTTTTCCTTTTTTTTTTTTTTCCACCCCCGCCTGTCTCCTCTTTCGGGATTTGCTAATCTTGAACGAAACTGTTTCTCTCTGGACTGTTTAGACCCAATGAGCGGCCCCTCCTGGGCGAGTCGTCCCCCTTACCGTCACAGAGGGCTGGCTCCCGGGCGCGGCCTGTCCCCAAGATTGATTTATTTGGGCCGCGCCACACCACTATTCGCGATTCAAATCCACCCAGAACACTGCAGCCAATTGGGCAGGGGGCGGGGGCTTGGCTGCCAAACGGGAAGGGTGTTTGGGGACCCAGTCTTGCGCCGCTTCCGGAGGAGCGGCGAGACCCGGCAAGGACCATCGTCCCGGTGCACCTCCACCCCCGCGAACTCACGCTCATTTTACTATCCTGTCACAAACTGGCTGCTTCGGCGATGTTTCATAAAGAAAAAGAATGCATTTCTGACTTAAAACATATTTTTAACTTAGATTTTTAACAGCCCAGATTTATGAGGCCTTCTCGCTTATACCATATTTCTTCCCGTCTCGGGACGCTTTTACCCAAGGACCCAGGGTCACCTCAAAGCCCCCCACCCCTGCCAGCGTCTGGGGCCAGTGGCGAGTTCCGGGCGGCGTGTCCCCCACTCAGTGGTCGCACTGCACCGTAGGCCGTCGACCAGAGTCCTGGCGGTGATTTTCTTTCTTTCTTTTAAGTTTAAATCTCGGAAAACCAAAAACACTCTTTAGAAACGTCAGGTGGTGGCGGCGGAAACTCAAAGGTCGCCCCCACCCCCAGCGCCGGCTCCCCGCCACCGGCCACTTCGGGGGAAGGACCGCGCAGAGCCAGCGCCGGGGTCCCCGGGCGGTCGGAATCGAGGCCCGGCGCGTTGCGCAGGCCAGGCCCGGCCCGGAGGCCCCTCGCCCGGCGCAGCCCCCGGCCGACCCCCGCGCGCCGCCGGTGGCCGCCAGCACGGCGCGGAGGTGGGCTCGCGGCGGCGGCGCACGAAAGGTCACCGCGGTGGCATTCCTCTCCGCGCTGTTTACGTGACTTAATGTACTCGCTGCGCCGCGGGTATGTTCGGGCCGCGATAAGGGGGCGGTCGGGGGAGGGTCGCCGTAAAAGCCCCACGCCGGGCGCCTCCAGCCCTCCCCTCATCCATTAACCTTTTTACTTTCTTCTCCCCTCTCTCTCCAAGTCTGTTATCTAGGCCACCCAATGACCGACGAAAGATTTTCCCTCCCTGCTTCTCCCGTAGCCGCTTTAAACCAAATAAATTTAGCTATTAAGGGCCAAAATGTCTGACAAAAGATCGAAAGGTGTCTTTCCGTGATCGCTTAAAGAAGCGAAGGAGAAGCTTGCGGCTCTCAAATACCGATAAAGAAATTCCGCGCCGGCGCCGGCCTCCCTCCCCAAGGCCTGGTTGCTCCCTGACGCCCTAAGATCCCGACTTCGGCGGCCGCAGACCTCAGATGGGCCCAGCGGGACCTGTGGCTGCCGCCTGGGGAAGGTGGAGGTTCCCGGGCTGCGGGGCCAGGGAGTGCCAGGCCCTAGGAGACGGGGTGGACACGGGGGTCCCTGGGAGCTCTGGAGCTCCAGGTGGGGATCTTAAAACGGCCCCCCTGCACTTCGCGGAAAAACTAAACCGAGCTCAGGGGGCCGAAATTACCACCCTGTTTTGATTATTTTCTGACACTAAATAATAAAGATAAAACCCAACCGCCCCCACCTACCATCCCACTCCCTGTGGGTCTGCTAAGGGGCAGTGTGCTGGTCCACGTCGCTGGTCCTGGGGCAGCGCTCCCTTTGAATCCCAGGCTGAAGGTGGTGGGTGGAACTGAGGCTGCCCGGGAGGGTGTGGACTCAAACTACACGCAGGTGGGAGGCAGAGGTCCAATCATTCAGTCATCCTCGGCTTGGGTTTGGTTTGAAGTGTGGTATTTATTATCATTATTAATTGCTACTGGCATCACTACATAAAGCCTAGGGCTGCCAGCTGGGCCGAGGCCCTGCCCCTGGAGTGATCCCTTCCCTTTCACCAAAGGGTGACGGCAGGGAAGATCCAGTTTCCTGATCCTGAATACTAAAAAGTGAGCTTGGGGAGTCAGTTGTGATGTTTTTGAAGTTTTCTCCTTCCCTTAAGTAAAAGGAGTCCATATTCCAGACCAGCATAAACCTTTTCTACCTCTTTGAAATAGGACAAGGAGGTGATGGGGTGGGGATAAGTTTCAGATGAGACCCCTTGGCTTCCCGGCAGGGGGCTTTCCCAAGTCTTCTGCCTCCCCCAGTGTGTTCTCTGGCAGATGGTGGGGGCAGGACTCTCAATTCCAAAAGGTACCCCAGGGTCTGCTGTCTGCCCCCTCACACTGGGCTGGGAAGTGGAAGATGCTTCTCTTTTTTTGTTATCTTTCCAAATAAGGTGAATGCCAAAAATCATCCGTCCTATCTAATCCTTACCCCACCGGCCTCTGGGGAGGGGAAAATTAGCGCATCAGAGGAAAAGGGAACATTTCTGCTCCCAAGAAGGTGAAAGGGATGGAGAAATGTCCAACCCACTAGACAGGCAGGACCTAGGCTCTTCCTGGATTTTGCTGGTATCACAAGGTGTGCAGGCCACGCCAGTTCTAGGGCCAGGGTCCATATGCCACTGTCTCTGGGCTGTCTCAGCTCAAAGACCTTCCTGACTGTTCAGTAGTTTTTTGGTTTTGTTTTTTCAAAACCAAAAAGTGTGGGACAGGGAATGCTAAAAGGAAGCAAGGAAAAGAAGGAAATCAGCTTTTGGAGACTTGCTAAATTACAAATGCTCCACTTTGAGTCAATTAAAGGGGCAAAATGTGCCCAAGAAACAAACAAAAAAATTACCCAGAAATATGACCTCTCCATACAGCTATGTTGCAAATATGCAGAGAATTAGGACCAAAGGCTTGTCTACCAGGTTGCCGTC